TTAGTCAGTAAAACAGCCTGTCACAAGGTTAACAAGTTGTTGTCAGTGCAAATCTCCCATAACTGCATTGATTTAAGGCCCATTCTATTTTCCTCAACATGTATTACTTCTGTAACATTCAATTCTCAAAATTCTTCACCTTTATTCATTCGTTCAGACACAGATGCTGTAGCCTAAGAGGTAAGTATCAGTATTCCTGCTGTAAAAAAAAAGGAAACATCTGATGCATAGAAAGCTTTGCTCTGTGCTCATTTACTGTGCTCAGTGTTGTCCGGTAGGGCATGTGTCTAGGAATGTCACAGGCCTACGTGCAAGGGAAAAGTCATACAGGGAAGGGACCAGAGCTAATGTAAGAGTTTTGATTATTGAAAGCTACTTGAAAAAAATAGTTGAAGAACTATTGAAAAAATATTGAAACCTGTGAGAGGGATGTATAAGCCTAAGGCCTTTGTCTCTGGCAAGGCATGAATGAACACTGGCAGCGAAGGCAGTTATCCTTCTGTATCACGAAAATACCTCGCAAAGGCATTGTTAAACTTAGGTGGCATTAAGAAAGGTTTTAACATTTGGATCTGTCAAGATGCTCTATTATTAATTCTTTTTTTTTTTTTGACAAATTTTAGATCATGTATGATACATTTCATAGAAAGAGTGAAATGGAAATAATTCATCAAATGCCATAGGCAATTTCTGAAGCAGAAAATGCCATCACCACCACCCCTGGATTATTATTTTTGTTAGTGATTCAGTTCTTCTTGGATGGTAGCTCTAAGCTATAGCAAAGGCTTAGTATGAATTCTGGGGCTTCCAGGTAAAAAAATCAGTATGTACTTGTGCTGTGCTGTGCACATGCTGACTACAGTGATTTCCCACTTGCCTGTAATTTCTTTTTAGGTAGATGAACATCATTCAGACTCATACTGACCTCCAACTTTCATAAATTCCCCTCAGATTTTTAGTTGATTACAGCTAGAATAGAGTTTCAGTAGCAACTGCTTAAGTCCATAAGCCTGAAAGTTCATAGGTGACTAAATGTGAGACTTCACTTGCCATTGCCTTACGTGACACTTGCAGCATTTCAAAATCCCACTCTTCAGTGTCAGATCATGACATTAGAAGAAACGTTGTTCTGAGAATTGTAAAACTGCATCCTTCCTCACATACCTTAAGTGAGCTGATTTTTAAAATTGTTAACTATTCAGGAGCACTTGGTAACTCAAAATCAGCACTACTTATATTTAGTTGCTGGGAACTGGATTGTAAGAATCTAACTTAGTGACCTTTTACAAAAATAAAAGCCAGGCTACACATTTTTAAGTCTTCTCAAAACAATCATGAATACTTGATGGTTTTGAATATCTAATTTGTAATCAAGACCTTTCTGCATCAGTGGTTGGCATAAGGGTGGTGAAATGCTCTTCTCTTTATGTGCTGGGCATACATTGAAAATAATATGTGTTTCAATATTTGAGGTAGGTTAATTTTTTTAGTCACTATTCAATAATCGGTAGGTTAGAATTTCAATTGAAAAAATTCCATTGAAACTTTTGCTTTTGAGCATTAAAAGCTGACAATCAACATTCATTCAATGTTTGGGTTTTCTTCCCCTTAATCTTGCAAATGAAATCTTCACAACCTGACCATCTCAATGTGAGATCCTAAATTGCCATTTTGAGCCACAACAGTGGTATTTGCAAAAACATCCATTTTATCCCTGCAAAGGTGGCGTGCACATATTTTTCCAGACTGACCAGATCCCCATACAAACTGACATTTAAAAGAAGTTATACAGCCTCCCAGTCCGCATGGCAGTGTTGCTAGCACTAGTGCCAATTGTTGCAAGATTTGTACTCGTTTGTGGAACAGCTTTGTTTTAACCAAACCAGAAAGCTAATTACTGTTACTTATTTTTACATTTGCTTTTATGGTGTAAAACAGATTTATAGAAATGCCAGGCTAAAGGCAGTACTATGACCTTGGAGTCACCCAGTGTTGAATTATACACACAGACGTATATAAAAGACGAAATTTCTTTTGTTCTCTGTCTCCCTTGAGAAACATTTCTTCCTCATGCTACTTGCAGTACAGTCAATACAGCCCTCAACACACTGGGAGGGGAGTGGTGTACAGTTCTAATTTTATTCTGCTTTTTAATATTTGCGTTTCCAAAACCAAACAGTTTCCTAGATAGTCACTGTAACAGCCCGCTTTTCTTGTTGCTGTCTCTGTGACCCTTAACGTGCTGCCGACGTTTCAGTTGCCAGTCCTGTTGGGACTCTGGTACCAGGTCACCGACGAGCCCTCCTCTGACCAATGTCACCTGACTCTCTCTTCACGTCAATCTTGAGATATCTAGTCAAGATACAGCTACACCATGGGCTGAGCTTTTAGAGATGATAAACACACCTTTGCTTACTTAGAACACCATGGCTAGCTAGGCTACAAGCTCCATTTGCCGTGCATGCCCAGTGTTGATGCCCAGGTGCTGGCAGCAGGGGGCTGTGGGGCGGTGGCTGTGAGGAGAAGGGTCAGCCGGTTCCAGCCAGTTCCCGCCATTCCGGCCGGTTCCTCAGGGCCGGTGCCCCACCACAGGGCACTGCCCAGCCCGACAGCCGGGCTGGTGGCACCTCAGGGAAAACGCACTCCAGAAAGGGCACAACGCCGCACAGACGGCCAGGAGTGAGGGACAAAGTGCGAGGAAGAGCCCTGCCGGCAGTCAGGCCAGAAGGGGAGGAGGTGCAGGAGTCAGCAATGAAGGAGTGAAGCTGAGCCTTGGAAAATGGCAGGGATGGGGGATTTTAGTTTTTGTCTGTGTTTCTCACCATCCAACTCTATTTTAATTGGCAATTAATTAAATGAATTTTCCCCAAGCCAAGTCTGTTTTGCCTGTGATGGTAACTGGTAAGTGATTTCCCTGTCTTTATCTCAACCCATGAGCTTTTCCATCTTATTTTCTCTCCTGTCGTGTTGAGGAGGGGGAGGCAGAGAGTGGCCGGCTGGGCGACTGGCAGCCAGCCCGGGTCAACCCACCACACTCTGCTGCTTGCAGTCATTGACTATCAGCTTTTATCCTCTTAGAAAGACTGAATATTGTAGAAAGAATAACTCATACCCCACCTTTTTTGCCCTGATAGCTTACCTGAGAAGGGAGAAGGAAATTATTCTGAACTTCAGTTGATAAACTTGAGTTTGTTTTTACATAGAATTCCTTTCCCGCTCTTGAAAGTGCAATGTACACTAAATTAAGTACTGCAGTTTTAGTCTACCTGTAGAAAAATCGAAGTCTTCTCCCTCAGATGGTTGAAGTAGATGTTAAATAAGTTCCTAATTAAAAAAAAAAAAAAAGTATTTTACTAGAAAAAGTACAGAACACTGAGAAAGCCCTGATAATCTTTGGGTTTTATCTTTACATTGTATTCAAGTTTATTGTATCATCTCTTTCATAGTACAGTGCCTGATTGTTTCTGAGCTGAGAATGTGCAGGCTTTCAGAAGTTTGTGAAATATGCTTCTTTCATACAAGCAGAGCATCCTATTAAGCAAAGATAGATTGACCTGAAGAGTATGCTAAAAGGGATAAGATCTCAGTGCTAGGGGAAGAAAAACCCCACTTACAATTGTATGCAATGCTTCATTTTCATTCTCCAGGACATCACCAAAAGCCGAGAAATTTTTTTTAGTTTCAATTTTTCTAATTTTCTAGTGCAGGAAAAAATAGTTCCTTAGCCAAAATATTTAAACACCATTGATTTCAAAATATTAATCTGTAATGCTTCTGTCACCTCTGTGTGGTATTGAAAAGGGGTGACAGGAAGCAAACAAACAAAGAAGAGTTTTCATTTGTCACCTAGGGTTCTGACTCTGCCCCTCCTTCACACGTTTGTCTAGCCACTGAGTCACTGAGCTTACAGTATTGTGTAACTTTCATTTCTGTGGAGGCTTGTTATATTGGAAAAAGTGTTCCAAAGAAAGCAACGATTATGACATAAGCACATCTGGCTCTTGCAAATTATTCTTTATTAAGCTTTCATTTAATTACATGTGCTGAAAGGTCTGCTTTTGATTACTGTAATTTTTTTTATTTGTCCATCTGAATGATAGTAATGTTGGAAATTACATACAAACCACCTGGCTTTTTTCTCACTAATAAGGCAAAGTTTATATAGATTTATGTGTAGGAGAGGGATTAGGATCTTCCCTGTTTATGGTAGAAGAATTATTGCTGATGTTAATTCAAGGTGAGGGTTTAAATTTGATCACTGGAAGGAAATTAAACCTATTTATTTTTTTCCGTAAACACTTTAGATTGGTAGGAATAGTTTATTTTAATATGCAAGTCTTTTATTATGTTTCAGTTAAACTTCTTGAAAAGTTCCATGAGGATGTTTTTGTATTTTCATCACTATTTACAGGAATTTTTAAGGCCTATGTTCCTTATTAGCATTTATAGAAGTTATAAGAGTCACTGTACACCAAGATGGAGACACACTCTGTTGCCTATTTTAACTTTCATTGCTGTTTAGAGAAGATGCAGCATTGCCTTTTGGTAGCAAACGATTCCTATGGCAGCCACCAGTAGAGCTTCTGGGATTGGTGGATAATTTCTAGGTTAAGAACGGAAAGATCTGAAGTGTTATTTCTGACAGGAGTTTATACCTCCTTTTCATAAACAGCTTTATAATTTTTCCAATTTTGTTTTCAATATTCAGGCACAGTATAACCTTTTGCTCATTACCATGACCATCATTAGTAAGACGGGAAAAAAAAATCAGCTAAAGGTCAAATTAAGAAAAAAGATATTGGTGTGTGGGAGTTTTCCAGTCCTTTTTTTTTTTCTTTTTGAAAATAACAAGAAGGGAAAAGCCACAAACAAGAAAGTGCTGAAAAAAATCTTTAAATCCTTTAAGAGAAGAAACAGCAGACCAAAAAAATTATGTGCGTTTACAGCTTCTTTTTTTAGGAATTTTGCAGGAATATATTGTATATCTTCTTGTCTTCCAGCAACTGTATGCAGCTCAGCTGGCAAGCATGCAAGTTTCTCCTGGAGCCAAAATGCCATCTACTCCACAGCCACCAAATACGACAGGGGCACTCTCACCCACTGGAATGAAAAATGAGAAGAGAGGGACCAGCCCGGTAACTCAAGTTAAGGTATTTTTCAGTAAAGAAAAAAGTTGGTGTCTGAAAAGGGCAGTGAAATTAAATGGCCTATTTAATTATTTTACAGTTGGAAGTTGAACTGCATGGAAGTTCTTCAATATTCAAATAAAATGTTCAGTTTTAGTGCTGTATTATCAGTATAGAGAAGGGAAAAGAAAGCATTCACTTTTTGCTTCCAGAAATACCAGGCGTCTCTCTTCCTACAACAGGCAGCACAACAGATTCATCAGTAAAAAGTGATATTTTCAAGATTTGAGTTTGTAATCTAGTAATGTGCATAAATAGTGTCCATTTAATGAATTGTTTCACATTGAACTTTTGAATATCTTCAAATACAGTGCTAGCTTATATTGTTAGGGCAAGAGAGAGATTATAGATCTTCTAATTATTTTACAATGTCTAGCTGTACTTATTCTACAATTTTGGAAAAAGCCTCACATAAAAATAAGATGTAAGTCAGGACTCGGGGACACACACACACACACACATGACGACCCATTGTGTCACTGCAGATTGATTTGACTTTTGCTGATTTCACACAGCTGCTGACAACCAGGCTGCTCCTTGTTGGTTTTGCGCCATTGCTGAATGCTTGTGCCTGCTTATTCTCACTTGCTTGGAACCAGGCAGCTACAACATGGCATTTGCCAGCAGCTTGAAATGAACATCCTGCACCCTTTGAAATCTGCGGTGCAGCTAGTACCTTTGGGTGGAACTGGCTGGCTTTTATTGCTGTGTTCTCCTGTAGTTGGTCTGGATTTCATAAGACCAAATATGCTCAGAAATAATTTACTTCAAATTGTAAAAAAACACCAACATTCAGATGTTTTACCAATCTGAATGATACCACTATAAACGCAGAACTATTAAAAGAGATCTAAAGAAGGCATAGAGTGACTTTGTCGGGAGAGAGAGAGAATGCGTGTTTTTGCTAGCTGCTAACACCTTACAGGCATGCAGTCTTTAGCCTCAAATCAGCTTGGGAAGATTTTACTCACTTGAGGTGAGGGTTTCTTCTTTTTTTATTTTTTGACATGAGAATAAAATATCATTTGTTTTTTCATTATCATCAATCATCGTGGTAAAGCGTGGGTGAGTAGGTATTTCTGCCTGGGCTGATAAATTTCCATGACACTTTTTTGCTAGGCTGAGAGTACTAATAAATAAAAAGTATTCCATTATGGCCAGATCTAACATTTATTTAGCGAAGCTTTCACTTAACTGTAGATGTGTATAAGTCTAATATTTTACGTCTTGTAATCCAATGCCAGGCTTGAGAGCAGTCAGTGAAAATTACCCCATATGCAGAGTTTGTTATGGTCAATACAGAAGCGACCAAAAGCAAAGCCCAACTGTTTCGGCAAAGTTGCCATAGTATAGTGATACCTAACACCGGTGATTTATAATATTGAGAATATACTACTGACTACTTTAATGTGAAAAAGTAATTTCATAAGTGAGTGAGCCAAATGGATCTACACCAAACCAAACCTTTACTATATGAGTAAAATTTTCCCTGGTTAAATTCAAGCACATATCTCCTTGAACCAAGGCCAATACCATTGCAGCTTTGTGGCCAGCTCAGTCCTATTACAGAATTGACCACATGCAAATTCTTGGGGGTTATTTAACTTGAATGGACTGGAATATTGGTTAATAAAAAAGAAGCCTTTCTTATTTTTATTAAGCACACTATTGCATTGAAAATATTAAGGATAAACTAGAGGTGCTTCATGTGGACAAATATCAATGGCTAATGAAGAAATTAATTATTAGTATAAAAGCAGTATGTATAGGCTGTCTTTGTGAATTGTTACATTTATAAGACACAACAGTTTTGATGGTCATGCATTGCTTAACAAATCCTCTATATTTTCTCTGGTTTTAAACAGTAGTTTGTATAAACTACATGCATTATTTATAGAACTAATGGAATTCTTTTACAGGAGTCAAATCTTTCAAAAAGTAATGATAGGGGTTTTTTTAAGTCAGTGACCAGAATGTTTTCCAGCTTTTCGGTTGCCTCGTAGAAATGCGAATGCTGTCTATGAAGTACAAAGAAACAGATTCTGACAGCGTTTGGAGTTTTTTTTTCACGTGATGGTATCAGTACTAAGCAGAAAATTATTTAGAAATTGAACATGGTAGTGTAGATTCACGCTCACAGTACCTAGTCTGCAAAGTTCATAGTCTGACAGGGGCTCTGAACTCTCACAGAAATTTATTGAAGCCACTTTGTGTCTGTGCAAGGAAACAGCTTGCAGGGTAACATGGCCACAAAACACAAGAACAGACTATGTCCCTTATACCTTTGTGTTTCTGCTTTCACTTGTACTCTGAACAGGTGTGGACATTTGCAAGGTCAGGAAGAATAAAAATGTCATGCAGTTTTATGGAAACAGTTTAAAACTGGAGATATGATGGCATTATAAATACCTGTTTGTTATGTTTTCCTGTTTAATGCATTGTGTATGATCAGATGTTCTTTGCTAAATCGCCGCTTGACAGTAAGGAGAATGGAAAAGATGAGATAATGTAGTGTATTGTTGTATTCTGACATATATTTCTAAACTTTGAAGTGATCAGTGCAGTGTTTTAAAATATGGACAATATTCTCTTATATCCAGCATAATTCTGCTTTGGGCATATTTTAAATGAGAGATCTGTCTTACTAGGCTCTTTAATTACAGAAAATCACTGTTTCACAATGTTCCAAATGCTCTGTCTTGCTTAACATATTAAGCAAAAGGAACAAGCTCAAAGAATGGGAAGGTTACATTGTTAATATCTATCCTGATCAAATAAATTAATTGCTTGAATGAGTCTTCTTCCAAAAGTTGAGATGTTTCTTAGGTGCACTTAGTCTCCTGTAGCACTGAAACAAGATATACATTAGAGAGAATTTCTTCCATAATGGCATATGAAAAGTATAAGAAGATATAGAAGTGCTGATACTAGATTTACATATCCTTAAAAATTTTCCTTGTCTTTATGCAAATAAGCATACAGATACAGTAAAAGTTGAATGCAGCAGAAATAACTACAGAACACAGAAATAATTACAGAAGTATCAAACAACAAGCAGAATAGCACTTATGTGAAAAAAATTCTTGATTTTACATAAATCTGTCAAAAATACATGATGCATTTTAATAATAAAATATTGTAAAATATGCAAAATTAAATAGTAGAAAATAAAATATTTTTTGTAATGTATATAGTACACATTCATTACCATAGTAAGTCAAAGAATTTGAATTCGGTGAAATTCTTATCTTCTATTATGGGGGAACAGCATAGGTTATTTTACTAAACAAAACAAGCACTCCAAATAAGATGCATGGAATGTATAAGTTAGCAGCAGTATTAAATGTGGGCCAAAGAACTGTCAGGGTTTCCAAATGATTCTTTCATAGAAGTGCTTCTGATTCCTTAGTTTCTAATACATTTAAAAATAAGCTACATAACTTATTTTTATAGTGCCAGGAACTTTTCAAGTACAACCAATGCAAAAGCATTTCTGAGCTGCTGGAAATTTTAAATAATTCTTTGTAAATGCCCTAGGTTAATTTAGATCTCTGAAAACACATTAGGAAATTAAGCTGTAATGTGAGCTAATTCAAATTTTAATTTGGCAAAAAGAACGATCCAGCCACATAGTTAATGTAAATAGAAGCATAACACAGAGAAATTAATGAGGTTTCCTTTCGTTGAATCTTAAAGGAGGCAGATAATTAGCTGCTTTTGTTATTATTGCTGGAGAATGTGGTATTGTCTTCGAGGTGTAAAGTAACTGCTGCTTGCAAAATGATGCATTCGTTTGTCTTTTCCTAATAATTATTTACATGAAACTCTTCTAGGATGAAGCAGCCCAGCCACTGAATCTTTCAGCTCGGCCCAAAACAGCTGAACCTGTCAAATCCCCAACATCTCCAACACAGAACCTCTTCCCACCTAGTAAAAGCAGTCCAGTGACAGTGACAAACAAGAGTGGCATCCCCAGCCCGCTCGGTGGATCTCTGGGAAGAGGATCCTCTTTAGGTAACTAATCTGTCCTGGGGAAAGGAGAAAACTGGCAAGTTTTCTACATGAAATCTCAGCTTGAGTACACTTACTTCTGAATTAAGTAGAAATTTGGGCCTACGTTTCTGTTTAAAATGGGAATAAAATATCGCAGGAAATATTTTCAAAGAACTCTTGAGTGCCAAGGTTTTCAAGAGTAACCAAAATGATGCAGCAGTGATATGCATCTACAAGAAATACAGCAAATAAATATATAATGTAAGAAATATACATACATACAAATGTACACACATAAGTAAATGGAGATGCATATATAAAAGGTGTAAAAGAGGTTTGTATGAATATCTTCCCCAAAGACATCAATTGGCTGTATACATGCACAGTTAACTTTTGAATTTTGACCTCTGGGTTAAACAAACAAACAAACAAAAGGTTTGCATGCACATAGAGCCTGAGTAGATACTGTACATCCACACATAATGGCTCATGTGATTAGTTACATGCAATGCAAGATTGTAGCATACCTTATAAAATAAACAGTTTTCAAGCTCTTTGTTGAACCAAGGTCAGGGAACATTCAGTATCTCCATGGTTGACAGTGAACCAGAAGCCAGGCAAGAAGGTAACTCCAAGTGCAGTTTTCAGCTGTTTAGCCCAAATATACTGTTAGTTTTACCCAGAACAGCATTCTGAAAGAAATATAATCCTCTGCATTCTGGGTATTAAGTTCATTTTAGAGAGACCATATGCTGAATATATTCTTTTTTTTTTTTTTAAGCGAAGACAGAAAGGCTTTGGTCCAGCCAGTTTTTTTATTATTTGTTCATTTTATTATTTGTTCATATTTTTATTATTTGTTCGCCCATCTGTCAAGATTTTGTTAATTCATATGGTTGCAAATAGGGAATTTTTGACCTGTGACTAAGATTCTTTAATTAAGAAATAAAGCCTATTAAGTGATGAAAAAAAATTGATCTGAAAACTATATATGAAGAGTACCTTAACCAGTGAAGAAACAGAATCAAGAGCTGCAAAATGTAGATGATCAGCCCTAAAGTTCAAATAGTAAATTTTAACAGTAACTAAATACTACAGACCACTTATTCACAATCTGTAGCTCAAGTGTACTTGCAAAATATATAGAAACACTTATGAATAATGAACAGATATGTTAAATACATACATTAAGTATATAAAAATTATGATTTGTTCTATTCCCAAAACACTTGGGAACATCATGATCTCTGAAAGATACTTTCTGCAGCTAGCTAGATATTCTACCTGTCAATTTATTTCCAGCTATCACTGCACTATCTAACATCAGAAAGTGGCATATCAGTTTGAAGTCATAGACCATTCCAGAGAAATGGCTAAAGAAGCAGAAATAGCAGAAGTAGAAATGGCTAGAGAAATGGCTAGAGAATGGCATAAAAACTTATGATTTTAAAACAATCTTTATGCCATAAAAACAGTCCTTAAGTATAAAAGAAGCCAGGGAAACATTGTCAAAAGTCAGCAAGCAATGTAGGAGCTTTTGCTTCATTTTTATGATAAATTTAGGTGATTGGGAGTCTGGGTCTCATTAAAAATCATGCAAATATGGTTCCCAGCTTACTTAGGCTCCAGAATGGAACTCAGTTGCTGAATTAGTTCAGAGCATTGGAAATTTCACCGAGCAAGAAAAATGGTTATTCTCTAATATGTTATTTTTATTTTGGAGAGGGGTGCTTCATTCAGACAGAAAACATCACAATTCCATTTAAAACATCACAGTTTGCATCTCTTCTTGTCTAAATCACAGTATTAAATCAACTATTTGGTTCCCAGGATAAAGCATGAGAAACCCTTAATCTCAACCTTTTTTATATTAAAAGAATTCAAGGTCCTTCAAGGTTGAATTTTCTATATTTTACTCAGTTGAACATCAATGAAGTCCAAAGAATATGAAAATTATCTTTGAAGGAGGATTCCAAGTTTTAGCTTGTTTGGTTTTGGTTTTGTTGTGTTTTTATGACAGACTGTTAGAAAGTACACAAATCTAATGAATTCAGAGCTTTTATAAAAGACATTTGCTTTTCAGGCAGATGCACAGGTCCTGCACAAATTTGATTGCTCAAAATTTCCTAGCTAGAATGTAGATGCACAAATCTATCCATGGACTGTATACAAGATACTTCCATGTAGGAACAGGTGGATCAAGTTAAAGCTTCATCACAGCAACATAAAACAACTAGTCATCAAATAATTGCTGTCTTTTGGTCTCAAATGAGAAACTGTATCTGGGGTACTCATCTTTAGCTTTAGCATGCATTTTAAGATGTGACAGGAACATTTTGTGTGAGTTTACTGCATGTTTAAAAGTTTCTCTTCCTGTCCAGAGTGATAGAAAGAAAACCATTTTTTCTCTGATGATTTAGAGCTTTATACTCATGTTAAGGTGATAACAAACTCTGTCCCCCAAAAGTAACTGTGGGTACTCTTTCTAAAAATGTACATAGAATTTCATGGCCAAGTGAACAGGATTTCTTTCTCCTTCTTTGTTCATTTTATTAATTGTTATTAATACTTCAAAGGCTTCCCACTTAAGCTTCAGAATATTGTTATCATAAACATATTTAACTTTGAGCTTTGAGTCCATGAGTATGCTTAGATACCTCCATATCAGACTATACCAAGACTTCAATGGTTGTATTTATAACAGCAAAAGAAGTGCACAGGCTTATCAATCACTTCTGGAGATCAATTCAGCCTTCAAACAGACAATTGCCACTCCTCCTCCTCCTCCTTTTGCAGATGTTAGTTGGGTGCAGCTCTAACAGTATGAGAGCTGAGTGCTTACCCCGGATTCTAATTTGGATAATTACCTAAATAAAATGTGTTCTCTGTTTATAGATATCCTTTCCAGTCTTAATTCACCTGCCCTATTTGGGGACCAGGACACAGTAATGAAAGCCATTCAGGAGGCTCGAAAAATGAGAGAGCAGATCCAAAGGGAGCAGCAGCAGCAACAGCAGCCGCATGGTGTTGATGGAAAATTGCCCTCCATGAATAACATGGGTCTAAACAACTGCAGGAATGAAAAGGTAATGTCGCCCACTGCCACACAGTCTGTCACTCATTCTTCTTTTCCCCACAAATAGCTTCTTATTTTTATATAAAATTTCTTTTTAGAGCTTTTAGCCATCTCTGATTTCATGTTAAATACACCTTGTCACTTCACAGTGCTGTGCTACAATCTTCTCTGTGTTCTCATGACAGCATTCAAAAAACAGTCCTGTGCACTCATGATTAAGCTGTAAGCATGCATATAACAATGCGGAAAATGAATTGGTTGAAGCTACCGTTGCTTGTGGTCACTAGATTTTGAATTGTGCTTTTGAGAATGATTGGATTGATAATTATAGCAAAAAGGCCAGTTATGTACTAGCATGGTCGAGTATTACAATGCTATTGAATTTATCTGAGCGTGCTTGAATCTGTGACTCAGATGCAATGGAGTATTTAGGCTCAAAACAGTGCTTTTGGCTCTTAGTTTCAACGGGAAATTAGAGATCAAAGTTCTTTGTTGAATGTTGGCCATAGTTTCCAAACACTGAAATGAAATGAGGCACTACAATAAAATGGTAAATGAGAGAAAGTGGTGAGAGAACATGACCAGCATTGGACTGAACTGGACATCATTCAGTTTACAAAATAGCAAGCTGGGAACCATATCTGAAAGGTGAGGAATGGTTTCTATCACAACACACTTTAAGGACTGCTCAAAGGACAAAGAAGTCTCATGGAAAATTCTTTGTATCTGTGTTGTCTTGCTCTGTGGCCTTTCCAAGGTCTACAAGATCTGCTCCAGGACCAGGTCTCTGTGTGTCTAACAGAGCCAGTGAACACTGAATCAGGTAATTGGCTGAGCTACCAGGCAGCCTTTTTGATGACGAATGCTTCTCTGTTAGCTTCCCTAGAGGTGGCTTGTGCTGCAAAAAATACAGCACACAAGTTATTTTTCACCACTGACACAAAATCAGTTATATACCACAATACTTATTCCAGTTAACTAGAAAGGGAAAAAAATCCCAGTAATGACTATGGCATTGGCAAATAGGAGCAGTTATGATGCAATTTAGTAATGAATGAAAACTGACACATTCATTAGCCTATAAGGCAACTAGTCTTTCAGACTATTTGCTGAAAAAAAAAAATAAATTGAAAGCCAGGTAGCTTTCAATGCCTATAATTCATTAATGAAAATTCTGTGAAGTATCTGTATATTAGAGGGTAGGTTCTTTGTATCTTGGAGGAGAGAGGCAAGATTACATTATACTCCAAAGACTAACAGGAGTTTTTAGTCCTGGTTGAGTATAAGAGTCAGCAGAATATTAACTATATCTTAAACCGTAAATTTTTTGATACCATGATCTTTTCTCAAGCCACAAGGGAATATTTGGTAAGTGGATTGTAGCAGGGCACAGAAAAGCAATGAAATGTTGTAAACAGACCCATGAAAGATTGATACATGCCAATCTACATTTTATATTTTTGCTTGATAGGTTCTTTACAGTACTCAAAACAGGAGAAAGGCTCAGTGTCTATTAAAAAGATTCGTTAAACTGTTGCCACACAGGATTAACAATACTTTTACAAGTCAAATTCAGAGGCTAATAAATATTTATTTCTGCTAGTGTTAGTTTAAATGTCAGCATTGACAAACTCATTTAATATAGATTGATACTATGAAAAAAATACAGAAATTAATAACTGATCAAGGAGGCCATATTCAGACAGTGCTTTAGTTGTGAAGTCTGTGTTTAACTAAGAGGTAGGGTACTAAAGCCCAAGTTATAAAAATAAAATAAATATCACACCTATGATCAATATTAAGAGTTTATAAAATTATGCTTATTTTAAAATGTATTTTATGAGTTTCAGTGACTTGGCATTTAAAAATATCTAATACACTATAAGGGCTATTAAAAGAATTCTTAACTTTTGATTTGACTTTGAAAAACAAGTATAAAAATGGCATCCACTTATCAGGTCTGCTCCCTGAGTATTTTCAGTACCGTGTTTATGTCTTATATTTGATATAACAAGTTTCTATTTCATCTTTCACCTTTTAAAGCAGAGTTAGTAAATATTTCAGTGAATAATCTGAAATTTCTTTTTTGTGCCGATTACTAGCAATACACAGATTGATGTACAGCTTCCAGATTGAGGTTGTACATCAGGCAGTCAGAGGAAAAAATTGGTTTTTTTACTTGCAAATGTAGCAGAGTCAATTGGAACTCTTTAACAAATATAAACAACATCATTCTCAAATGCCATCTTTTATGGGGAGACTTTTCATGGTAGCACTTGCAACTTTTAAAACCTAAAAATAAAAGAGCAGCAAGGAAATCTGTTGTTAAATCTCTCAGTGCCCTTATATAATCCTGCTGGGTTTGTTTATTATAGCATGCACTACAGAGTGAACCATCAAGGCAGGAAAAGGTTGTAACATACTCTGATTCTACCTTTGCTATGCTAGTCTGTTATCCTTGCTCTGTAGATGCAAGAAAAGGCAGGGTTTACAAAAGAATGGGATATAAATCAGTCATTTTAAATGATGATATATCCTCACTCTCTATCCTAAAGAAAATAAAAGAATTAAGTCAGTCATTAATACTAAGAGAATGTATTTATATTTTATAGCAAGTATAAAATACATTAAAACCAGAAGCATCCTTTGCACAAACAGAATTCTAGAATACTTTTCTTTCCCCCTTTACCCTCTGCCTTTCAATTTTCACATTATGATATATTTCTTTTACTCTAAAAATGATGGGCAGGGTGATCAAAATGGAGGGGCAGGGGAATGAAAGATCACTTCAATTAGAAAAATGTAATTTTGAAATAATTGTATGCCAAGAAGATTGTGTATGGTTTCTGTCATAATCTCAGTGAAGCTTTGATAACATAGTTGAAATTTTGGATGGTTTCTTTTGAAGAATCAGGACCCTATGTTTTCAGGACCAGATTTTCAGAAATTGGCTTCAGGTAATTAGACTTGGATAAATGAGTAGCTAGAAGCTGGCACCAGAAAAAGATGACAAATTAATTGCCTGCAGCTGGTTTAAAAAAAAAACTGTTGAGTTCTGGTCAGTTACTGGTCTTCAGATAGCTGGTAATGGTTTGTTGTGCAAATGATTGTGCTTACATAGCTTCAAAGCCTGGGCTTAGGCCTTTTTGAAAATGTGTCATTTAAATCTCAGAAAGCTTTGTATTTGGTTAGAGACACAGAATTGAAAATTGCCTCTGTTCATATTCCACTGTTCAAAAAAATCTCCTACAGAGCTTTAAAAGTGCTTGCAGAGATTCACTCATCGGAAATACCAAAACAAAAACATGCAGCACTCTGGCACAGTCCAACTTTGTCATTTCCTAAAGCATTAACGTTAGGCTGTACTTTTGAGATTATACCATTCTATGGACATCTACAATTACAGAGTTACTTCGGTTTGTGTGCAGTTGTGGGTTAGCGTAGGCAGGTAAATACCATGCAGCCACTCACTCACTCCCCTCCAGTGGGATGGGGAAGAGAATCAGAAGGGTAAAAGTGAGAAAATTCATGGGTTGAGATAAAGACAGTTTAATAGGTAAAGCAAAAGCTGTGCACACAAGCAAAGCAAAACAAGGAATTCATTCACTGCTTCCCATCAGCAGGCAGGTGCTCGGCCATCCCCAGGAAAGCAGGGCTTCAACGCGTGTGACAGTTAACTCGGGAAGACAAATGCCAAAACTCCAAATGTTTCCCCTTCCTCCTTCTTCCCCCAGCTTTTTTAGCTGAGCACAACATCATACAGTGTGGAATGTCCCTTTGGTCAGTTGAGGTCAGCTGGCTTGGCTGTGCCCCCTCCCAACATCTTGTGCACCCTAGCCTCCTCGCTGGTGGGCCAGCGTAAGAAACAAAAAAAGCCTTGATGCTGTAGAAGCACTGTTCAGCAATAGCTAAAACATCCCTGTGTTATCAGCACTGTTTTGGTCACAAATCCAAAACTCAGCACCATGCAAATTAAAATTAACTCTATCTGAGCTAAAACCAGTACAGTGCACGCAAGGCAAAAAGCCATGATGGCAGAGTTGACTTTTTCTACTCCACCCAGTGCTGATCAGGTGTAGTCTGACCGAGGAAAAGGAAGAAGTAACTGTGTCAGTGGTTTCACAGAGTAAATGGAAACACTGGGGAAGGGGAGAGAATTAGGAAAATCTAGAAAATAGGCTGCAGAGCTCTTTCCATGTGATATAAGCAAAAGTAAAATAATACAAAAATTGGCTCTTTTTAGAGGATATGACTTTTTTTCTGGTCAAGCCATGTTTACCTTCTACAAACAAGGGTACTTAAACAAAATCTACATTGCTAGAGCTACTTTATTTTAGTAGCTCGAACTAGCATGATTGCCTGGAAGATTTGCTTTGATTTAAGGCTTTAAATGAACCTGCAAATGCTTTATAATTTTTAAGGTAACTGACATTATTTTTAAAAGGACCAGATCCTATCTTTTTTGTGCATAAAGCATTAAAACACTGACAAAAACACTTCAGAAAAACTTTGTAGAAAAAATGTAAGCAGAAATATGTTAATTTCATTGGGGAAAAATATATGAAGTCAAGGTAGAACATATACCCAATTAATAATCACAACATATCTCCTAGACCCAAGGATATACCCCCACCTCCCCATTTACCTACCCACAAAGCATATGCATTGAGATTTGAGAGGAAGCAGAATTTAATATAACATTTTTTATGTTTATATTCCATTCCCTCTCTTTTGTAGTTTTTCAGGCAACTGTGTATGTGCAGTAGGAAACCAGAATTAGACCCCCAAATAAATGACATGAGTCATCGCCTACTTCCTGGGAATTATGGTACTTTAGCACCTCTTATAAAGAGCCTTTTATTCCTTTCTTATTTCTAAATCAAAGTTTTACAAGTTGAATCCACATCTTTTATGCTAATATAGACCACAGTTTGTATGCAAAATGTGTACATTCTTAAAAATGTATAATATTTACCCTTGGAGATGTTACAGTCTATTGATCAAATCCAT